AGAAGATGCTTTCATGATCACTACAATCTTAACTCATTCAAGTCTAGAGTTAACCATTATCTTCTCCACAGATCCCCAGAAATTGCCTCTTACTCTGTAACCCTCTACCTTGAGTGGCTCTTGTACCTTGTACAAAAAAGGTAAAAATCAATATTTTTTTTTTGATTCTGACAAATATTGTGCCTTGGGTGTTAATCTACAAAGTTCTTTCCTGGTTTTCATTTGGATAGTCTACTTAAGTCGTGCCTCTATTCAAAGTAAATATTAATAGAATATTAGTGTCCACTTGAGCTAACAGCATGGGATTCATTTGTGTTTGTTGTGCAGACATTCCTTGGGTCTTGTAGGAATTAAACTATGCTGATTTAACAAACAGCATGTGTATCAAAGAATGGGATGCCAAATGTCTCTTAAAATACACTTCTTTTTGGAAGCAGGGTGCCATAAGTGATCAGGTTTGGTGGGAAGTTTCACACGTGATGGAATAAAAGTATCAAGTCCAGTTCAACTTGAACATCATGAGTGATTACTTCTACTTCCTGCAACAAGAGACCTTCTCAAGATGCAAGTGTACAAACAAGTAACCCAAACATTTCCAAAGACATCAAAAATAAAATATATTTTATATTTATTCAGTGATTAAATGTACTCTCTACAAATATACCATTTATCTTAGACACAAATATACAGTACTTTGTTTTTGATCATTTCATCTCAAGCAAGGCAATAAAGCCACTAAGACACAGAATGTTACAGAGTGTGAAAGAACAGTAGTAGGCATTTATTTATCTCTTGAGATAAAGGTAACATTCTGTTTGGTCAAAATTCAGTCCTTTGGTGGTGGAACTGGAGTGACCTCACCAGGATGCAGGACTTGGCAATGATATACAGAGGTTGTGCATTGCAGGAATAACACACACTCCCTCACCTGGTTATACTGATAAGATCCAAAGCAACACATTTGGGTACAGACTGGCTGCAGACAGGAATTGCTGGAAAGTTGTCAGTATTTACAGCCAATCTCGGTTTTCTGCCTGGTTTTACTTCCATAGCCTTTTCAGTGTTTTGAACATGACTGCAAGGCAGTGGAGGTTTTCCTTCCCCTAGATAGACTAACTTCCTAGGCTGTCAAACTCCATCTACCCAAAGCAGCTAGTTATGAGGTACCAGTTTTTTGCCTTCACCCGTTCTCTGGGTTGGAGCTGTACTTAGTTGTCGAAGGCTATTTGAGACACATGCTATGAAAGTTTTTTATAGACAGTTGGAGCATGTTCCCACCTATCACCCTTGGCTATGACAACTTTTGGAACATATATAATGTATGTATATAAACATTATATACATTGCATGTTTTACAAGTTAAAAAAAAAATTAATTTTTAAATATATAAATCATTAGGTAAACAAAAAACACTAGAAAACAAGACAAATTATAAAACAGAACATAAATAAACAAACTAAAATACCAAAAAGTTGGTTCATTTTAGAACACAGAAACATAAAGCAGAAACAAAAAATGAAAATATATATCAGGATTCAAGCCTAAAATAATTCATACTACCTTTTTGACAGTACTAACATCTAAACAGTCCATTATTTACATTATTCGGACTATTGTCCTCATCTTTGTCACCATATCTATCACAACGTTTCGGCCGTTGTACGCTCCAGCCTTCTTCAGGTGGTTGGAATGTCGAACTGAACCCTTTATTTCGCTCACTGGGGTAAACTGTTCTAGTTCCACATGCCATGTTAGGCCACAAAAATCTCCTGAGCCGACCAAGCATAGAATAAATACAATATGGGAACCAGTAATAAGGAGTGCCAGAGAAAAGCAATGATAACAACAAAGTTGCAATATGAGCTCTGGTAAAAACATGATATGATATCAGCAAAAATTGCAATATGAGCACTGGTAAAAATGGTTGCTGAAGACATTAGGTTTATCATACCCAGAAATTCATACTCAAGGACACATGGCACAGTGGATAAAGGCGTTGGTTAGATCCAGTGACAGGACCCAAACAGTGTGAGTTCAATACCTGGTTAAGGCAGTGGAGAACTTTCAGAGAGAAATTAGCAGGAGATAACTGATAACTGACATCCATCAAACATGGAACGTGGAACTAGAACAGTCTACCCTAGTGAGTGAAATAAAGAGTTCAGTTTGACATTCCAACCACCTGAAGAAGGCTGGAGCATACAACGGCCGAAACATTGTGATAGATAAAGTGACAAAGATGAGGACAATAATCCGAATAATGTAAATAATAAACATAATACCTCATCTCAGAAATATACACAGAATCTAAACAGTCAATTCATAGAAAATGAACGAGAGTAGAAAAAGTTGATAAATATAACTTTAGGTAAGCAAAAACAGAAAGTAAAAATAATACAAATAAATAATCGTGAAATAATATAAGAAAAAGAAAAACATTATTAAGGAGCAAGAACAATAATAGAACAGGAATTAAGAAGACAGAAGATAGTGATTTGCACTGTATTTAAATTTTTGAAGATCAAAGTTGACTGGGAAGCAAGAAGCCATAAGAGAGTTCCATAAAGTGAGTAGTGCAAGAGAAGAAACTCTCAGCATAGAACTTATGGTTTCATCTAGCCATTTCAGCTGTAAAATGATGAGACCTATCCACCACTCTAGTACTGAGTACTAATAAACTTCTTTTACACACCAAATAACTTTTGGATATAGGTGATCATGACTCTCTACAACTTCCAGTCTTTTGCTGCTTGAAGTGCTTTTTGAAACTTTACCATCCATTAATTCAAACTCATTAAGCAAAGCAATGTGATGTGATGCTTTCTCCTGCCTCTCTTAAGTATATCCTGTCAATGTTAAATTCACTAGACTCTCTTTCTTCATTTCTGATTCTAAGCATAAATTTCTTTGTTGTTCTTATTTTCCTAAAGATTTCCCTAGTTACTCACATCTTCTGTCCATGGTGTTCACAGCATTCATCACTAGAACCACATCTCTGTCACTCCAAGTCTTATCTCCATCTGTGACTTTCAAAATTACTATATTCTGCTGTATTTATGTGCTATGTCTCTTTTTATTTTCAAGTACAATGAAATACTGTTACGTTATTGATGAACATTCAATAGTTATCCAAAAATTGTTATTTTCCTCCCTTGACAAGCGATGCTGTTTGAGCCCAGTTGCATGATATTTTTACCAACACCAAGCTTAAGTAGCAGCACCCACCCAGCTTCCAGTATCACTAGCGATTGAGTGAGTGTTCATATCCCCCACTTTTTAACTATGACCCATCATTTTTGTTTTTTGTTTTATTCTACTTGGTTTTATATTGTATTTTCAAAGCCAATGGCTGCTAAATGCCGATGCAATGAAAAGTGGAAGAGCAGAGATTCAGTCTCTAAAGCCATTTGCAATTTGTTTTACTTAATGATGGACCAATCAGAACATTGGAGAATATGAAGGTATTAAAAGATCTCATATCAAACTAATATTTTCTCTGAAGAAAATCAATCTATTTTCTCATTAGACCAAAAATAATTTAATTTTATCTTTGATAAATTAGGACAGATTAAGTCAAATTTGGATTCAAATATTAAGTCTTCTGTGGTTTAAAATTAAAAAAACACACACACTAACACTCACTATTTTTCATTAAATATTCACCCAATAAAACCTCTGAGAGCCACTCAAGGCAGAGGGTTACTGAGTGAGGTTGTTGTAAGGATGTAAAAGAAGAAAGTTTAGCTTATGAGGATATAGAAGATAGATTAACAGTTAATGCTAGACTTGAAGTTCAGATTCTAATGATCAGGGAAGCATTTTGAAAGTCTGTTCCATAAGTTGGGAAGAAGCTATCTGAGTGGAACTTCCTCATTATCAATGGAATACAAAGGGAATGAGGATGATTGGACCCTGTGTACATGGAATGGTGGACCTTAGCTGTAAATGTCTGAACTGATTGAACTAAAGAATGTAACTTTGTCATAACATTTACTTACAGCAAAACTTTTCCCCTTTCAAATGAAAAAGATTAAAAAAAAAAAATAGATGGATAAGAGAAAGAAGAACAAAAAAAATGTTCCTATTTTCACTGATTCTCAAAGGCTGAGTGCTTGAACCCTGTTACCTCTCTTGAACAAAGCCCACAATTCAATGTAATTTTGTTCTCTTCTTGCCTCTCCTCTTTCCTACCTTCTTTATTCCTTTCCTCACTTCTTGTAAACAACTGAACAGGAAATCATCCCACAACCACTACTGCTTATTCCTTTTATTCCATTCCCATAATGCACTGGTCTTCAGTTTATCCCTTAAAGAGTTTTTACGCTTTTGTTTATCCCTTTATGTATTTTTTTCCTTTCCTCACATCACAGGAATGTTTGGCTATTTCACCTGCTTTTCTAACTTTAAGCTTTAATCAACATGAGACAAACGCTATTAATAGTTCCGTTGTATTAAGCTCCTTATCATGCCTTCCAGAAACTAAGCAAAGAGATAGGGAAATTTCTTTAGAAACAAAGAAAAGCATGCTGAAGATATATATTATATCTATCTTCCTATATGAGTGAATTTTGAGAAATTTCCTTACAGATGTAGAAGAGACGGAAAATGACAGAAATGTGGTTTGACAGAAAGATGCTGACAATACCATGAAGATGAGTAATAAATTTATTAAAAAATGCTAAGTAAAAGTACATTTATACTTCCAATAAAAAAGAGACAGTTGACATTTCTGGGACATATAATAAGGAAAAAGGCTGGAAAAATTTAGCCATCACAGAATAGGCAGGAAGGACAGAAAAAAAACAGTGAGTAACCTACATACAAACAAAGTGGATGTAAAAAGATTGAAACACTGCTTAGGACTACAAGAGATGGGAAGTTGTGGGGAGCCATGATCGCCCATATTCTGAAGGGACACAGCACAGAGAAAAGGCTTTCTCACATTTCCTTCAAAGAAAGAATTTAACAAAGGAAGGATAAAATTCAACTTTCATCTTTACCTCACATTTCTTTGTGGTGCACTTCAAGGGGATGCTAAATTTGCCAGTCTTTGACAAAAACTTCACCTCACCAGAGAGATCTTCATTCAGCTGGAAAAAAAAAAAAAGAGAAGAAAATGGCACACTTAAGCAAAGTACAGGTAAAGAAAAGAAAAAAACCTTTAGGTTTAACTTTTAATTAATTTTACCGTATCTTTCATGGTCAGAAAAGACAGAAATTCACAGTATGAGAAGCATTAACAGTTTCTTAGAGAAGACACATTCTTGTAAAATATGCATTGAGTTAAAAAAAAAAATAATAATAAAACTTGATAAAAAATCAGGAGTGAATATTAAAAGTTGCAAGATGCATAGCTTATGGTACTTCAAATGAGGAAACAGGGAAAAAAATCTCCAAAGATGAACAGTAATAGGGAAGGCAGAATATTTTAATAGAAAGTGAATCATAGAAAAGATGTTAAATAAAAAGAGAAAACAGAGTCCAAGTTAGAGAATCATATTAAAATTATACAGGTTCCTCTGCTTGTAACTTAGTTAGCATGAGCATTATTGCCCTGCCATTGTCCCAGATAATTAATTGCCCAATTCATTTTTATTGCAAGGAAAGATAAAAGAAAAAAATATATCACAGATGCTGTTTTGTTTTTATCTGAATAAGAAAGCATATATAATAAGAAGAAAAAGAAAATAGGGGAGGTAATAAAACTTATGTCTTCAATGTTTGCTTTAGTCAAATGGAAAAAAATTTTCAATTTTAAATCTTTTCATTTGTACACTCTTACTTCTTTAAATAATGACTTGCATTCATATTTATGTCTGTTATTCAAAGTTATTAAGCTCAAATTTTTTATGAAGAAATATAGGAATTTCCACAGGTATATTCAAGTCATAGAACTCGCAAAGAGTTTATTCAAGCATTAACATATAAAATATGAGTATTCAGAAAATTAAAATTGGAAAATCATGAAATTTTCATGAGTACTGCTCATTATAAAATATACCACTGGGACTCTGAACCAGTAATGGAATGGATAATGGATAAGTAAGCAAATACTTACTTGTATGAAAAGGAAATTTTAATTCAGCCTAAATAAGCAGATCTTAAGAGCCAATTCTTTTTTTTAATTCAGTATAAATCAATAGATTTTAAAAAAAATAACAGTGAAGGAGAAATAATTGTAATGCACCACCATTATAATTGAAGAAGATGCTCCAAACTCTTTTATGTAGGGTGTATTTAACATCTGTCTATATTTCTGAGACGAGGTATTGTAACTATTTACACTATTTATATTGTTCAGATTGTTGTCCTCATCTTTATTGTCATATAAACAGTTGTGTGTTCAATACCTGACCACAGCAGAGGTGAACTTGGAGAGTAGAGTCACTAAAGGGAATTAACTAAAACTGAGATATCCAGAAAAGGCAGGAAATAGAACAACAACTCCCATGGGTTAAAAAAAGGGTTCGGTTCTAAATTCCAATGTATATCAACCTGAAGAAGGCTATAGCAAACACCAGCCAAAATGTCATGAATATGACAATGAAGATGAGGAGAACAGTCCAAACAGTGTTAATAGTGCAAAGGTGTATTTAGGTAGTAAGAATTAATCCAAACATGTTTTGTTGTATTTAACCAACTAAGTCTGAATTTTTAATGTTTTAATATATTTTTCAAATTTCTAAATATATGGTACATCCAAATTGAAATTCTGGATAAATTGTCTCAAGTTCATATTTTATTTTATTTTCACTCAAGTACTTTTGACCATCTAGAACTGTATGTTGTCAGTATGGAAGACAAGATTTTGTCTGATGCACCAGAATAGAATGAATCAAATATTTTATACATATCATGGCTATTGTTGCATGGTTATTTGTTGTCACAGTTTGCAAAGAGCTGGAGGCTGTTGATGAAGAATCTACAGTCATAGCCCAATGTAAGATGTCTAATGGTCCTTATAGTATCAGAGCATCCAAATTTGTATGAAAGGTGAAGATTATTGATAATAACTCCAGAAAGTCAGTTAATGACATTGCTAAGGATTTCAAAGTTTCAAGTCACTCTATTGAAAAATTGGTGCATGAGGACCTTTGATACAAGTCATATGTCATGCGGAGAGGCCAATTCATGTCTGCAAAGACAGAAGATAACTATCTGGTCAGTGCAAAGCACTTGTTGAGCAAGTTGAAACATCAAGAGCCTGGAATGTTTTGGCTTTTCTCTTATGAGAAAAACATTGATCATTACCAAAATGTCAACTGATAGAATAATAGATGGTTATGTAGAGACTCAAAGCACATTCCAACAGTCATGCACAGAAAATTTACAGCAATTGTGATGATTCTGGGATTTGTGAGCAATGAGAAACAGGTCATGTCTTGTCAGTTCTTTATAGAGAGCTGCTAGAGAGATTTGTGAAGCCTTGCATAGAAAACATGAACAAAAAGAAGCTCATACACCAACAAATAAGACTCTGCACCATTAAATAAGGCCAAG